TCATTATTTTACTTAACATAAAAATTGTTTCATATCAATGGTAAACTTTCAATTTGTGATTAAACGCAACAAAATAAATTTAAAAAGTGAACGATAATAACAATGGTCCTGCTTCTGAGCTGCTTTAACTGAGCAATTTAGTTGGATAGCATAGTATTAATGTCTCAAAATAAGCTGCTTTAAAGTCAGCACCATTAACTATATCTGCCATAATGCATACTAGCTACTCACTAGAAATGCATCAGTGAGTAAAACTTTATTAGTTTTACTTATTTTGGTATTTATTTCAGATTTAGTCAGTCGTACAGTGTTCTCATCAGTGTTTAAAAGAGGACATGTTAAAACACGGTTTAGTCAAAGTTAAACATGAAACATCAAAGTTCATTACAAGTGGCCCTTCGAGGGCCACCATAACGCTCATGTGGCCCTCGGTGAAAATGAGTTTGACACCCCTGGTCTCAACAGAGAAGAGAGTAGAATTGAGTGGAAATGTGTAGGAAGGCAAGGGACCAGGCTGCTGGACCGGGGTACACAGCATAAACCAAGGGTGCCCAAACATTTTCCCCGAGAGGGCCAAAATGAAACTCTATCCAGGGCTGTGGGCCAAATGCAGTAATATAATACATGAAATACAAGTACTTTTTAAAGTAAAGTCCTTTATTTTTAATGATTAAGCTATGCAATGGCCCTCTTTTGTTTTTGTCTGTGCACTTGGAGAAAGTCTACCATACGCTCAAGTAGCAAAGGCTCATGGGACGTTTTATAAATTGATAAAATATGAGCTTTTGTGGCCTTATAAAGTGTGCAAATCTACATGTGGGGTCAAATCTGATTTAAATATTTCTTGTTCTCATTTCATGTTTCATGTTTAATCCTAATAAATCAAAGATAAAGTCAGCACCATGACTGAAAACTTCCTTCACTACAGCCCTTTTATATAGTCATTTGACCAATGGAAACACTGTGTTTCTATAGAATTAAAAGGTTACAACCTTGTAACTTTGGCAACTGTTGGTGAGCCAAATTCGGCCCACCGGCCCCACTTTGGGCCCGCGGGCATTGCTTTCATCCAATGATCTGACTCTGTTGAAAACAATAATTTGAGGATACATAGTGGTAAGGGCGATGAGTAACTGAAAATAGGCGTACAGGAGTCTTCGGAACACAGTTTTGTTTTTCGTAATTCCTTTCTGTAAATAAAAGAAAGTAAATAAAAAGAAATAACCTTCATCCACTCTGCCATGTCATCAAAATCATCCAAGTGAAGGAAAGAATTCTTCAGTCTGGCGATTGGGCCGTCTGCATCTAGAATGCGGCATACGTGGAATTTGTCGCAGTATCCTCGATTCCCTGAGCACGGAGCACCACCAACCAGAGGCAACAGTTTCCTCTGAAAATAATGAGAGAGCACGGAGGAGGTGGTGCTGGCACACGTCTCGGGCTTATCTGCAACATACACAGCATTAAATACAGACAGTCAACCAGCCAGTCCAATTTGATGGTGAGACAGCTCTTAATTTTGTTTTTTGCGAACAACTTGAGGTTTACGGAGCAGAAAACATCCTTCTCATAAAAACTGACACATTTGGGCTGATTTGTTGCGACCCGAAGTGTAAACATGTTAGTCAGAGAGGAACCGTGGGTGTGTGTTTACCACGCTGCTGGCAGCACATGTGGCATTTCTCCTTCATGTTGTCTCCTGGACAGTCACACTGCTGCAGGCGGTGCTTCACACACACAGACTCTGCACAGACCTGCAGGGAAAAAAAAGAAATCAAAAACATTTTTATGATTTCATGCATGCAAAAGAAAGACTGGGGGAATGTGGGCAGGAATACAAAAGAAGAAATTAAGTTTATATTTCATAAAAAAAAACAGAATTGCACTGTTGACACAATAACTCAGTCGTAAACAACTTGCCAATAAAATAATTTCCCAGGCATTAGCAAACAACTTTAACTTCTCAAATTCAACATGTTCAAAGTATCATATATAAGTATCATAAATAAGACTTAAAAAGAAACAATATTTGTGTACAACAAATATACTTTCCCCCCAAATTTGTGTTTACTGTGACATTACAGAGGAAACTAACTGTTTAATAAATATTGTTTAATTTTTACCAAAACTGTTAAGATTTCAACAAAATGTCGGCATGATTTTGAGATTTATAGTGTTTTTGTTTCTTTGTCATCTTGCTCTGATTTTTATTCCTCTAAAAGAACGAGTCACAGTTACATTTTGTTAGGATTATCTTGGTATTTGTTTGATTTCTGTTTTATTTCATTAGTTTGTTCTGTTTTTCCCCGTCATCGCACCTGTTTGTAATTTATTAATCATGAGACCCGTTTCCATTTCTTTCTCAATTGATCTTCTCTTCCTGCATGTCTTCTTGTCTCTGTGTTCCTAAAGGTCAAGTCAGGTCACTCTTTTTGTTCTTCTGCCAAAGAAATTTTGGATTCAAACTGTCTGGGTATTCTGCTCTGCAGACAGTTTGGTTTTGTTTCTTTCACTCGCTCACCTTCTGAATCTTTGTCTTTATCGTGTGACAAATATGTGGCCAACACTTTGTTGTGATGCAGATAACTCACGTATTTATTTTTTCCTTTTTTTTTTTTTTTGGTTAAAAATGGTTTTTCCTCTTTTGAAAATAATATGAAAACTTTCGAGTTTATAAAAAAACACGACTCAGCTTTTTGATTCTGCAAGAATTAGATTCACTAAAACTAATGGATTAAACCTGTTTGTTCATAGATTGGATTTATTCATTCATTTATTTATACATTTATTTATTTATTTTTACCAAATATTGGGTCAACACAGTAGCCTAGCTGGTTCAGACATAAGTTGCATCTGTGTTCACTGTCTATCACCTTACTCCAGAAGTTAAGCAAATGGAACCTGACTGGGCCTCCACTTTAGGACGTAAATCAAAGGTCTCTCTAAAGGTAAGTTAGCAACAAACTGTAAAATAATATTTTATCTGGTTGGCCTTGTTATTAACTTAAGCTTGCACGAGGCTGTGAGTTAGTGTTTCTAAAATAACATTAGTTGATGCTGGCAAGCTGATGCTAATAGCTGTTAGAGCCAGGTCCAGGTTGTAAATACCTCCACAGTAAAATATGTGGCCCGGATTCCGTAAAGAATGACGGCCCTTTGGTGGCCCAGGTGTGGTTTGTCAGAAGTGGTCCATTAATGGAGAAGGGGGTCTCTGCAGTCACTATGTTGGAGTTTCAGGTTTTATGGGAGGAGTTTGTCCAGAACATGGTTGGTCTGCTAGACTTTTGTGGTCATTGTTGGTTTGATTGGTTGGAATGACTAATTTGGATGGGGTTTGAAGAAGGGGCTAGCTCGGTTGAAATGGCCCGGAAGCACATATACGTATTTTTAAATAATAACTTCATAATGTGAGACAGGAAGGAGCTAACTGAATGAAATTTGAGCGCTACACTTATGGAGGGATTTTTAACAATCTGACTCAGTCAAAATAGACAAAACCTGCATGGAAAAAGATTGTAAAATAATATTCATAAAATGAGACAAGAAGGTGCAGGAAGTCAACAAATTATGTAATTATGAACATATGTTCATAATAAATAAACTTGTTTGTATTTCTACTACTACTATTACTACTACTACTACTGCTACTGCTACTGCTACTGCTACTACTACTACTACTACTACTACTGCTACTACTGCTACTACTGCTACTACTGCTACTACTACTACTACTACTACTAATAATAATAATAATGATAACACATTTTATTTGAAGACGCCTTTCATGGCACTCATGGACACCATACAATGTAAATTCAAAGAGACTATACCAGGGCTATTCAACTGGCGGCCCGCGGGCCGGATGTGGCCCGCGAGTGACCAAAATGCGGCCCACCAATTGGTTCATTCATCCCTTAAGCCCAGACCACCAGTTTTCTACTTTAATTACTATAAGTTCTTTTGGCTAAACACAGACTTGTTTGGTATCTACAGAAACATCAGTATCTTGGCTACAAGCTGGTAAAAACTATTTCTAAGCAAACTAAAGACAGTTAAAACTATAAGCAGTTGAAGATAAAACTATGAAAGTAAAAATAAAATTGGTTTAAAAAGTTGGCAAGTCAGAGATGTCAAAATATTGTGTTAAATAGGAGGTATGATGCGTTATTTTTGTTTTTGATATTGTTTTATTATCACTAAATTTATTACATACATAGTTCTGTATGTTATATCCRTGATTAAATGCAGCAAAATAAACTATTTCAAAGGAAACAGATCTTTGGTTTTTTTACATAATAATTTTAATTGCTGGATGTTCGGCCCCTCAGCTGTTGGCCTGCATTAACCATGGCCCCCGGAGCAATTTAGTTGAATAGCCCTGGACTATACTATGACAAATTTAACACATTTTTTGGTTCGAGAACTTGCTGCGTTAATGCTGAGTTAAAAATACCCAGGTTTGGCTCGGTACAGCAGTTTTTAGCGTGTACTCATTAATCCCTCATTTTCCTAAAAGCTTTTTCCAGTTATTTGATGTTTTGTACAAGATTTAAACCAAGAGAGAATAGCAGGGACTGAACATCTGGACAAGAAGATACGATGAAGCAACAAAGTCTCCAGAGCGCAAAGTATTTAACGTTGGAGAAAAATGGTCAGGGTAAGTATTGTTTTTTTCCCTTTTTTTTTTTTTTTTTTTGCAATCACATAGAGATGTTAAGATGGATTCAATCAGTTGTTTTTCCAGTAATACTGTGTTGTAATGATGCTTTTATTAACAAATAAAGCTGTGGAGGGATTCATCTGATTAGCTTCAGAGGAATTTTGTATATTCACGCTTGCTGAAAACCAAGGAAGCATTTGATTAGTATGTCGGATCAGAAACAGATTTGACTTTGCATCTAATTACCAGTACATGTGCTAGAATTACACAAAAACACACTGTTTTCTAAATTATTATGCAAATGATATTTTTCTCTGATGTTCCTAAATAGTCGATACAAATGACAGTCAGCCTAATTTTCTAGTCGACATCTATAGAGTTTAATTTGAATGTTAATGGAAAAAAATTCTCAATTGAAGTAATTTAAGTATTTCATTTAAAAAAACAAACTTAAAATGCACTGTTTCAAATTATTGTGCACAACAGAGTTTCAAAGCAATTTAAAGACTGTGAAGAACTGAAAATGGTCATTTGTTGAATTTGCAGCAGTGGGAGGTCGTAGCTCTTCAAATCAAAAACATCATAACAGGTCAAGCTACATTTTAACATAGGATCCATTGAACTTGTGAGTTTTTGGAGAGTTTCTGCTTGAATTTTGAATTTCTTTGTAGGATGTCAAGAATAACCATCCAGAGCTGCTGCCTGGATGTGAACTGCCTCCCACCCTCAGAGACCTCTGGCCTTAGGCTCCAAAGGTTCTCAATAAGGGTTGAGGTCAGGGGAGGATGGGGCCCAACCCTAAGTATCTCTCCTTTTATGCCCATAGGAGCCGACGATGGTGCAGAGGTATTCCTTGTTGCATGGGATGGTGTGTTGTCCCATGTAAAAATTATTTTAGTCTTTATGTATTTCTGGGCCCACTGCAGTTGTTTCTGTTTATGAGCATTGGTTAGGGGTGGCTGAATAAACAGTTTATTCATAACCGTAAGCCACTGGAGGATCCTACACCTTGACGTTCGCTGGGACTTTAAAGGCACCAGCAACTTTGAATATCTGCTGCTTTGTAATGACATTTTAGCAGCTGTTCTCTTTAATTAGATGTATTTGTCTGTCAAAAACATTCCTCGTTGTGCCTTTATCTGCATGAACCCATGTGTCCTCTAAATCAACCACAAATCTCTTAACAATACAACAATTATGCTTAGGTTTTTGTGAAATCTTTAAGGTTTTCATGCATTGTCCAAGGCATTCACGCTTTCAAGAGCTACTTTTTCTTTCCCATATTGTTTGAAAATGGTGATCTGCTTGATTACATTGATTTTGCTTCTTCAGTAGTTTTTCCTTTGATGGGCTCACCTTGCAAACTAATCACCACAGGTGTCTGAGATTGATTTCAGTGACCCAAAGAGTCATGAAACACAATAAGCTTAATTAAAAAACTGAACAATGTTAATGTTATAACACTTAAGTACTGTTTGCACAATAATTTGGATCACAGTGCGATCTCAACATGAATGATCTAGAAATCATCACACAGATATGCAAACTGATGACCTCATTTAACAAAACTGTACTTTCAATTGTTGTTAAAGTCAAGCATTTCTTTCTGCAGGATTGCTGCACATTTGCAAGCATTTCCTGAACTGTTGGGTAATAACAAAAATGTGTTGAGTCACAGTCTGGATGTGTGCACCTCACCCCGTTCAGACAGACACGAGTGCCCTGACTACAGATGGTCAGGTCTTCCTTGGCGTGTGGCTGTGGACAGAGCGCCGAGAGGCCCGAACACTCGCTTTTTTTCTGACAGTCTGTCTCTTCGTCGCACAACTGACCCTCTGGCTTAAACACACAGTTGCGGCCACAACACAGACCCTGGCTCGGACTGGATGGACGGACAAGTGACAAGACATGATAAACACAGTCAGGGTGACAAACCTGAGTGGAACCAGTTTCAATGAAAAAGGAACAATGTGTTGCACCAAGTTGGAATACGCCTAAATCTGTTTTTAAAACTTATATACCTGCAGACTTTACCAGGCTTGAGGCGACACTGGACTCCTACATGTTCTTTGGCACTGAAACAACAAAGGTCTGTGTCATTGTGTCCGACATCACACTCCTCACCCTCCTCTACAATCTGGTTTCCACAGATGGGCTGATCGCTGACTGGCCAAAGAAAGCAGAGACGCAGAAAAGCACAGTGAATTCATCGTAGCTCAGTTTCTCTGAAAGGGATCCATGATTAGTTGTAACATTAGACTTT